AAAAAAAAAAAAAAAAAAAAAAAAAAAAACAAAGGGATATGAAAAATCAATCCAACAGCTGCAAGATAATACAAAGAAAAACATAAAACTGATTGCAGTTAAACAGAAAGTCAGAGACAGCTCAAATGTCACTAAAAATCTCTTCACAGAAGCAATGGCAAAAAATTCCCCAAACATGAATAAAGAATTTGACACAAATAAGTGAGGCATACAGAACTCAAGTTAGGCATGACCAAAATAAATCTATACTAAGGCATGGAATAATCAAGATTATAGAAAATTAATGTCTATTAGAGAAAAGAAACAGATCACCTACAAAAGAAAGCCCGTCAGACTCACAGCAGACTTCTCAACACAAATTCTCAAATAAAAAAAGAGCTTGGAATAAAGTATTTCAAGTCCTAAAGAAAACAACTTCAAACCCAGATTGATATACCCTACAAAACTATGTTTGAAAAATAATGCTGCAGCAAACTAAAGTGGCTGCTTATGCAGGCCCAGAGACCAGGGTTCCATCCCCATGTGCCAGCCCCACCCCAGGGCGCACTGAGACAGCAACTGAAACTGGGCATGGTGGCCTGTACCTGTTATCCCAGCGCTTGAGAGTCTGAAAACAGGAGGATCAGCATGAGTCTGATCTGTGTAGCAAGACCCAGCAGACCCTAAACTAAAATACATTTTAAAAAAATAATAACAATGGGGCTGAGGAGATGGCTCAGTAGAATAAGCACTTCCCTGGCAAGCGCAAGGGCCTGAGTTCAATCCCCGGTTCCGCAAAAAAATAAAAATAAAAAAATAAAGGATAAAAAAACAGAATTTTTTTTAAAAAAACAGAAATTAACAGATAAAGTACAGAACATTTTTAGTTCAATAAAACTAATCTCTATAATCCTCTTAATGATGGATAAATGACATGCATTTATTTATCAAAACCAACAGAATTAAACACAACACAACCCAAGTAAGCTCTGGACGTTAGTTAATACTATATCAATTTTAACAAACATACCACATTAATACAAGATCTTAATAAAAGGAGAAGCCTAGAAGCAGAAAATGACTATATAAAAACTGTCCTATGTATTTCTGTATAATTTTTCTGTATATGTAAGACTACTTGAAACTATAGTCTGTTAAATATTTTCAAACAAAAACTATAAACAAGCACTTCCCTGCCAAGTGCAAGGTTCTGAGTTCAATCCCCTGGTTCAGCAAAAAATCAGAAACAACAACAACAAAAAACAAAGACTAGCACAAACAAAAACTATATATTTTTTTCTCAAACCTGTCAAAAACAATAGGTTTCACTAGCAACAGACCTGTCCTATAAGATATATAAAGGATAGCCCCCTAAAAAAAAAAATATCAGGTGGAAATATGGATGCACAAACAAGAGTGAACACTACTAGAAATGGTAACCACACAGCAAAAAATATATATACTGTATTTTTATTATTTGAATTTCCTTAAAAGTTTACTGTTAAAAATTTTTAAATACACAGTGTATAACATGTAGATGTAAGATACATGATAATACTAGCATAAAGGCCAGGAGAAAAGAAATAAACACAGAGTCACAAGGTTCTTATACTAAGTGGGGTTGTATATCATCTTAAGATAGTGATAAGTGATCGGGGAGATGACTCAGTAGAATAAGCGCTTCCCTGGCAAGTGCAAGGTCCTGAGTTCAATCCCTCCACCTGGGTCACATTGACAACAAGCACCACCACCATCAATACTGCGAGCACACAGCAGAAAAGCCGTAGTCTGAAGACATTGGTCCACATT